TTTCTTTACTGGTTTTTTATTGTATATTTCCGATTTTTTATTTTTCTTAGTAAATTAGGATCTACGGGAAAGAGTTTCCTTTCTGTTGTAAGTTCAGATATTTATTTCAAATGTAATGAAATATTTATGACAAATAATTTCAAAAGATTAATAGGTTACCTTTTTCGAATTTAACATCAAGATTTAAGGAAATATTTCTTTAAATTATTTGCCTTTCTTTGGTTTAATTTATTTAGTTTATTATCCATTGAATTTTGTTAATATAATATTAATCGCAAAGAAAGAGACAAAAAGAACATTCCAATTTACTAAAGAAAGTAGATAACACAACTACTAAGAATAAATTAATCATGTCATTTATCAAAATCAGGACAGAAAAAATGAATGTAAATATTTGGTTTGTAAAGCGAATAGCTAAACGAATTCAGATATAAATAAATAAACAGAATAGATAAACATGAATATAAATTTATACTACATATATGTATATGATTATTGATAACAAGTATTGAATAACGTAGGTGAAATTTCACGTCAAAATTAGTTCAATGGTGCAAAACCTACGGCACGATTGTTGACATCATATGCGCTACATACATTTTTAAGGAAAACATCACCAACCAACCACACATCATCAGATCCAGTCACACTTCCACCTTGAATACCTGAAACGCTTAAACCGTTTCCTGCATCATAGGTAACTAAATGTTCGGTTTTGATTTCATAAGAAATTCCACCGAAGGTTAAAGACACTACAGTCGAAGTATCAGTTGGGATTAAGTAAGTTCCATCATTATTTTCAGCGCCGGGAATTAAACTATGGATAAATTCTGCATCTTGAGGTGGTACGATAAGAAGTGTTGTTCCAGTATCAATAATGGCAGACTTTCCATTTAATCCCAATGACTTTCTATTCACATGGGCATCATCCAGGGGAATTTGCCAGAACCCGTCAGTAGAATTAAGTGAGTTATATGAGATGCTATCAGAAAATCTTGGGTCAATTCCACCAATAATGAGTTCGTTACCAGATTTATTGGTGCCCTCCTTAACACTACCGAGTACGAAGCTAAATACGGAAGATTTAACCTCACCACTATCGATTAAATTTTGAAATGGAGTTTTGGCACGTAATGAGCTTAAATTATCAAGAGCCATACCAAGAATACCATCAAATGGACTGTCAGTAAAGTCATCAGAAACTACGTCAGAGAGACCGAAAGTTTGTCTCCTAATGGTAAAACCAGCAATTTCAAACACGTCAGTTGCAGCGATTCCTGATGTATTTCCACTTCCATAGGTAATTGAAAACTTTTTATGATTAGTTTTAAAAGTTGATGATTTATCAGGATTAAATGTGTTATGTGTAGTTGGCATCCCATTATTATAATTTATTTGCGGAACCCACAAGTCAGAGCTGCCAGTGTCAAACAACAGTCGGAACTTCTGCCCTCCCAAAAGTGCTGGTCCATAATAACCAATATCGCTGCCATAATCGCTCATTGGTTCTTGAGCTTCTTCACCGCCAAATTTAGCTCTTGCTGTTGCTAATTGTCGTTCTACATGTTGTCTCCATGAATACTTGCTAGATGGTTCATGCTTTGTCAACGGTACTCTCATTTTGCTATTAGCGATACTTGCAAAGGATGTTGCTTTTGTTTTTCCTAACAAAAATGTACGTGAAAAAAATTTAAATTGCATTGACGAGCAAGCCGCATATTTATTAGCATATTTATTAGCATATTTACTAGCATGTTTATTGGCATATGGGAAAAATAAAACAATTGATTAAACATGTGAATCCTGTTTTTGGCACGCGTCGTCTTCTTTATTCCGAATGAATTTCTTAAATACGTTATTTCTTTCTTATTTTGAAGTATGTAGTGCAATCCATAAATCAATTGTCTTTTGATACTTAAAACACAATCTAAATATAAACAACCAATTTGGTCGCATGTCCATTTTTCTAATTGAATTTATTTTTAATCTAAATACCTTGGTATTGAATTAATTATGAAAGCACTGAGTATAATAAGGATTGAATCGATCCTTTGTAACTTTTATTATTCATTGCTTTTATAATTCAATTTTATATTTCTATCCTAATCTAAAGATTACCCTTCCATCACTCTTCTTTCACTATCTTTTAATGCTTTTTTCAATAATCTATATCAGACGATTGCAGATGTGTTATTATTTTGAAGGTGTATAAATATACAAATATGGAATATTAAAAGTAAATCGATAATGTAAATAAATATAACTATGTATGTATTTAATGAATGTCGGAAATTTGCCCGCTACATATAATTTTCAATCGCAAATTGAATAATTTGTGACTCACTCTAATTTTCAAAATAAAATAATATGAGTGATAATAATCTATTATTTTAGAACAATTTACACACTAAGTATTTTTCTTTAAAGCATTGAAAATAAAATAGGTATATATATAAATATACATTAGTTATAATGTAATTTCTTATTCATCACCTTTTTTGATACTGACCGAAAATTCATATACAATATTCTTAATAAATTCAGGTTCAATGCTGCTAATGAGTTCTTTATACTTAATGTCATTATATATATTGCATATTAAAGTAAGGCATATCGTCATGAAATGATTAGTAAGACTTCTTCTCGAATAATGATTAGAATTAAGACTATAATTTGAAAAACAATATGTATTCATGATTATTAATGCGATTATGATAATTTAGATAAGGACAATAAAACCTAACATTTTTTATAATGAAATATATTTACTTAAATAAATTACGTGAGAATGTTTAACTATCTATTTTATAGAATCGCATGAATAAAAAATTCAATTGATTAAACATATTGTGGCTTAATTATAAAAGAATTTTAAATCAATTAAATTGTGTACATTTGAAAGTTTTACTAATTTTTGTGATAATCTAATAAAATATATTTTTGGTCGTATGGTAAATATTTTCTTAGTCACATTTTTGATAATCAATATCGCAGTTATTCCTTTATTTGTGCATATCCCAAATCGAAAATCCGAAAACCTTTATAGATAAGGTTTAAATTTTTATATGCGACCATTGATTTACAATGAATATTGCTTTTTCTTAGCCGGGCCGATATCCCGAAACTCCGACATTCTATGTCTTAGAAAGAAGGTAATTACGATAATTGGAAATAAGCAATTTAAAGCGTACAAGAGTTTAGTATAATATATGCCTACAAATTCGTAAAAGTCATTGAAATAAACAAAACCTTATATAATTTTCCGAATGGATGATTTTCATAATTATACATACAAATTCGTAAAAGTCATTGAAATAAACAAAAAAATTTATATAATTTTCCGTATAGATGATTTTCGTAATACATTTTAAAGTTGTGGAACCGCATTTACTAATTTTTCACAATTTCATAGGCTGAAATTATGCTCACATGTGCGTTGTGAACGGCTCCTGGTTACCCTTATTCATCTCTTCCTTTTCTATATGTAGATTATTATTATTATTATTATTTTTTGCTTGATTATTGACCATTTCCATTTTTGTTGCCGTATCTTCCTTTTTAGTATTGCTCAACGTAAGGATATATCGGGTTAGTCATCATAGGTAGAAGTTCGTCTGATTGGCTAATAAATTCAGTTTATTTTTACAGTTTAGAGTACTTTTTAAAAAAACGAAACCAACCATAATAAAACCATCTAAGGTTTCATTAGAGCTGTAGAACTCCATAGTCAAAAATAAGATCTAATTTAAAAAAATTAGCTTAATTATAAGGTTATTTCATCAGGTTTTGAGAAATTAGTACTATACTACCTTTTTTAAACGGACGAGAATTAGATCTTATTTTTGGCTATGGAGTCCTATAGCTCTAATGAAACCTTCTATATGGTTTTTTTTTTCATTATGATTAGTTTTCATATTTTTAAAAAGTACTCCAAACTGTATAAAAAATGTAGAATTAAATTGAATTTATTAGCCAATCAGACAAACTTCTGCCTATGAGGTTAGTGTTTGTATTAGATATGGTAAATCGAGGATTTTTTGAATCTACTGCACAGCTGCGCGCCTGCACGGGCCCGCGTTACGGCTAATGCGGGCCAGAATTGTTAAATTCTGGGATATTCTGAGCTTCCGAAACATTCCGCCTGCGCAGTGTCTCATCTCTAGTTTGTATTGTTATGGGTCGATATATATGGTAACTAATATACACACAAAGCCCAAAGAAGCGACAGATTATCGCTTGAGAAAAGGTTATACCATGAAATGTTCCTTGACATATTTAGAGGCGAAACGATTTGGCACAGGTCTAAGGCAGTCATCGGGTAAATATGATATTCTATTATTTTTATTTGTTCTGCTCTTTGTATTTGGAATATGATTGAAAGGGTTTTATTATTTTTTTGTATATGGTGGGTATGACATGGATTACATGGACTACTTCGACAAGAGAAAACCCAACCCGTATTTATAAGAAATTTACAGGGAAAAAAAAAGGTTTTTGAACATATCCTTATGGCTTTTATATATTTTTCTCGTTCAATAAGCCGGTGTTACCCTTTTTACTAACACTTTTTCTTTTTTACAACCCATGCTTCGTTCTAATAGTAATTTTGCATTTGGTTTCACTCCTTCAATGATGACAATCCACATGCGATGACGCACTTACATGTGCTTCTTGTTCAATAAGATCTCAGTGTTCGATGAGGCTTGGCTTGTGCATTCAACTGCAAGGTGAATCGTCATCCAATTACTCTGGGTCATGGTGTCAACGGTTTTTGTGGGGCGTTTCAGGGGTCATCTCGTGATGGTTTTCCTAAGGTCCCAGAGTTGGGTTGCCTATAACAGTATATATAGTCTAAAAATAGAAGGGGTGAAGATAATCCTAACCATACTAGTACAATTCGATCTATTGCATTTTTGAATTTATTAAATTTCATACTTGAAGTGAATTTTGTGACTTTAGTAACTTTAGTGCTCTTAGTGAATAGAATGTCTTTAGCAAATAAGTTCCTTGTGTAAATTAATAGTAATAAAAAATGTATAAAAAGACTCATCTTTCACCTCGAATAAAAAAAAAAATAAAAATTGAAGGAAGAATAAACTCTTGGAGTTCGAAAACTTCGAAGTATTTTGTAGAAGTCGTATTCTCTAATAAGTTTCCCTTTAATTGTTCATTGTCATGTCTCCTTGCCCCAAAAATTGTATTTTCGTTAATAAACCGTTAATTCTTGTCTCTGTGACTATAGAATATTGTATTTTCATATTAAGGAAAAGAAAGAAATAGTATTAGTAATGCTTAAATAAGAAAATTCCTAATCATTACACCTTTATAAATTTTTTTATATTTGTCTTATTGTATTTTATAACTAAAAACTTTTTGTTTAATTTTATATAAATACTACTTGCTTAAACAAGACTATTGCTAATTATCATTAATAGTATAATATTTTATTCTGAATATTTTGATTTAGTTGTATTTATATTATAATTTTAAAAAATATAAGCAGGTTCAAATTAAAAATTGAAGCTATTAAGAAAATTGCTGCTTAGTTATTATTAAACTATTTAAATTATCTGAATAACTTATTATATATTTCAAATAATTATATAGCAACAATTTTTACTTAAGTCCAATTTCTAGTTTAAATTAAAGGTTGGATCTATTAACAATATCTTTTATTTGTATAATATCAAGTAGGAAAAATAAGAATACATTTATATATTAATTGGATATGGATGTATAACTAAAATATTATTCCTAAACTACACTATTGTTGTTATATACTACATTATTTAGTATGATATTATCCTTTAGTTTTCTGTTTTTAGTTGAGTTAATTGACATGAACTTACCTACAGAGAGGGTAAAAGGAACCCTTAAGATTATTTAATTAGTAAAAACAGGTATGTATAGTGAAGTTTTGAGTAAGAGTTTTAGAAATAAAAGGATCTATATTGGTGTTGAAAATGAAAGTAATATTGTTGGAATTTGTAAATTGAGAAGTAGGTAATCTAATATTGTTTTTCTTTTTAGTAGAAGATGTAATTCCTCATAATAATTCCCATTCATGTTGTTTAGTGTTATGGGTCTGTCAGATAGTAGAGTTAAACCAAGTAAGTAATGAGTTAGATAAAAAAATAAAAAAATTGTTAGTTAGTTTTTTTAGAGTGAGTTGAAGTTGGTTGTATTGATTAAGGGTTATTGTATCCTGAATAAGTAATAGTATAGTATTATATATATTTAAGTTAAGAGAAGTGTTTTGTGTAATAAGAATTTAATGCATTTGAGATTTCATTAGTGAGAGTGTTTTGTAGATTGTAAGAATGAAGTGAGCATTGGAATAAGTATTCAGTGCTTTTATATTGATTGCAATATGAGCAATTTGGAGTTAAATAGAGGAGAGGATAGCAGATATAAAGATTTGACATTGTAGGTAAATTATTGAGAAGTATTTTGTTTCTAATTAAATATAGTTTGAGATTGTAGTTTTGAGAATTAATAATTTTAGTTAATAATAGAATATTTATAGTTGGAAGGTTTCGTAATGGTTTGAGTTAAAGAAGTTTGTTAAATGTTTGTATTAAAATTAGGTTTTTACAGAATTTACGTAGTTTGTATATGATTGGAATTTCTTTTCAGGAAAAATAAGTAGGTAGATAAAAGTGATCAAGATTAAATTTTAATTTAGTCTTATTGGCACCTTGTTTGGCAAGAGAATCGTTATATTGTATAAAGTATTTTTTGAATGTAATTTAACTTTGTATATAGTGTAATTAATGTTTTTGAGTTTTATTAAATAATTGAATATATATATAATATCCCAATTATTTTGTTTAGTTTGTGATTTGTAGTAGTAGGATAGTGTATTGGAGAGTGTTTAAATAGTAGATAAACTGTTAAAGTATATATAAATTTGATAATTAGAAGGTAAAATGAGAAATAAAGGAATGAGTGCTGCTAATTCTGCTTGTGTTAAGTTTGGTGCATGAGTTATAGAAGCATTAAATTTGATTTGTATATCTTTTTCAAGGATCCAAGTAATGCCTGTTGAGATGTTATTTGTTTGTATATTGAGTATGGAAGCATCTGTCTAGAAGTTTAGATTAGTTAGTTCCAGCAATAGGATTTTTTTATGAAGATTGATGAGTTGGTTTTGGTAGGTAGAATCAGGTATTGTGTTTTGTATTAAAAGAATTTTTAAAGAAGGTATTGAGAGGGAGAGTAAAGATTGGGGAACCAGTTTGTAGAGCTCTAAGTGAATATTTTGAAGTGCTTAAATTTCTTGATTGTTGATGTTGAGCTCAAAGTATTGTTGTTTTTTTTGTGTTTTGCATTTTAAGTTAATAGTATTTTTGTAATTGGTTTGAATTATTGTCGATGTAAGAAAGATGCAAATTGTATTGGATATTGAATTGATAATTTTGTAGTTTTGAAAGAGTAGTAATGAGTTGGATTTGTTTGTTATTTTGCCTATATGCCAGTTTGAAGATAAGGTGTGAATTGTCTATATATTTTTGATGTTATCAGATTGAGATGTAATTAAATTAAGTGTATTTAGAAATGGATTTATTGGTAGAAATTGGATGTTGAGCCATATGCATGTTATAGGAGAGTTGGATATTTGGTTTGAAAGTGTTTTGAACCAGCTTGAAATAGAGCCTTGTGGGGATTTGAGAGTTCTTAAATATATGTTTTTCCTAGGAAGTAGATTTAGATTATTGACTGTAAGGAGTTGTTCAAAGAAAATAATTTTGTTATTTTTAAGACTTAAAATTGTTGAATTATTTGAAAGTGGAATAAAGTTATAAATATTGTTTAGTTGGTTAGTTTGTTTGTAAGTTAACAGTTGAGTTAGATAGAGGTTGTTAAGAGATATATTATTTTTATATAAATAATAAAGTTGGGATATTATTGTAAAATTAGTGGTTTTCCTATAATTTTTTAAAATTATATCTTTTGTTAGAAATGTTTTCCATATTTTGAAAAGCCATTTCTTAATTTGGTGTATAGTAATTTGGTTTAGAAGTTTGTTAGTGTTAAAGCATCTTTCTATATTGCTACTACTAACTTGTAGAATTAGTTTGTTTAGTGTAGGAATGTTAAGTAATTGTGGATTTGTAAGTATATTATTGTTTGTATTTGTGGATAGATGAAGCATGTGTTTGGTGTATTTTGTTAAGAGACTTGATAAATGTTGAACTGGTTTTGTGAGGGAGAGCAGATTTGAAGTAAGTATTCGATTGATAGCACAAGAATAGTATTAAATAGTCGAGATATTTTGTATAGAAAAGAGTTTTTTGTATTGGATCATGTAGGTAAATTGAGAAACTTTGCTAAAGATTTTTTCAAGTGTAGGTTTAGTTGATTTTTTTCCATCTAAAAAAATACCTAAATATCTAATTAAATCATTGGATTTATGAGATAGAATTGATTGGTTATTAAAGTTTAGAGGATTTATATTTTGAGTAATATTAAGTAGTATTTTTCTATTAGGTAAAATATGAATGAGATCTGATTTAGATGGGTTAACTTGTATGTTATTTAGTTGGTAAAGTTCAAATATGTTATCTAAAATATTTTGAAGATCATTTTTGGATTCACAGTGCCATATTGTATTATCCATAAAGGCAAGAGGTGGTATTGTTGTGATAGATGAAATAGTTGAAAAGATTGTTTTTAATAGAGATTGTGTTGAAATTTTAAGGAGTTTTGAGTTGTATTTTGAGTTTATATAGCTAAGAATAGGATCATAGTAAATTTTTCAAAGTAGTGAAGAGTAGGTTTCTCCTTGCTTTATGCCTGAGTGTAGTGTGATTGGATCAGTTAAACCATAGACTGTAATTGCTCTGACTTTTCTGTCTTGATAAAAGAATTTAATAAAATTTAAACCAGTCTGAGGAATGCCAATATGTTTATAGGCATCTAGTAATCATTGAATATTGATTTTGTCAAAGGCCTTGGACATGTCTTGAAAGAGTATCCATGCCTCTTTGTTATTAGTTTTGTAATTTTCAATTGTATTTAGTAATATTTATATAGGAATATGAGTTGAGCTATTCTTAGTTGCTGTGAAGTTTAAGTTACTTAATAGGTAATGCTGAGTAATAATTTGATTAAGATGGGTTGTGAATATTTTAGTAAGACATTTTTTTATAGGTTCAATCAGAGAAATAGGTCTGACTTGATCTAGAGTGAAGTTTCATGAGGATTTTTTTGGGATTAGAAAAATATTTGATGTTTTCTATAATGTTGGGGTTTGTTGTAGTGTAAGGAATTTTAATAAGAAGAATCAGATTATGTTTTAATTTTAGAAGTTTAGATGTTTTAGATGTTCATAGTTGGTTTCAGAGAGACTGGCAGCTTTTTGATTAGGGAGGTCATGTATAACTTTGTTCTACTCTTCTAAAATAATTTCCAAGAAAAGGTTAACAAAGTATTGTTCATTTTCTGAATGTGGTTTGTAAAGTTCATAATATTTTGTATTTTTATGAATTGGTGAATATGGTAGTTTTTGAAAATAGTCTTGAAAATAGGATTATAAAGCTTGTTTTATTTTGGTTGGTTAGGTAGTAAGTGTATTATTAGAGAGAAGTCGATATAAGTTTATACTATTATTTGGTTTTTCTAGAACATTTCAAAAGAATATTTTGGAATTTTGGTAGAAGTTGTTGTTTCTTTCTTCAAGTTTGTTTTGAATTTCTTTTATTGTATTTTTTTGCTTTTCTTTGAGGATTTGCTTTTTTAGTATTTTGATTTCAGTAATAAGGAGTGTTGAGAGTGAAGTAAAAACAAAATTGTTATTAGTTGGTGCTAAGTAGAAGGGTGATAGTGAAGTATTTTGTGAATATTTATTGGTATATAAGTTATAAGTTTGTGAAAAATTAGATTTATTAAAAGTTGTTTTAAAATGGATTACTTGTTTGAGTTGTTTGTATAATGGTGTAAGAGAGAGTAGTTGTTGTTTATTTTGATAAAGAGTGATTTTGA